AATTTATAATATAGTATGCATTTGATTGTAAAGGGCCATACGCTAGATAAATATTATTGATATTGACTTTATGACACTTTTCATTAGTCCCTTAATTATGGTCCCATTCTTCGTGCTCATTGCCTAGAATGCCACAGTGTCCAGGGGGTTTCCAGGGTAACTGAGTAACTGATACAGTTTTTTTGCATTTGTGTAACTCTGCTGCTTTGGGTTGTTCTCTGTTTCTAATTGAATTTATTGCTGACTGTGAGTCCGATAGAATGAATGACCCATAAAGTGGGCGACTTGGTCTATTTTTGTAGGTGCTCCAGCGAGTGTCTTTGGGAATGCGCAGTAGTTTCTCTAACAGAGTCAAGACCTTCTCTTTGATAAATGAACTTACTGTGGTGTTCCCTGTAACCAGGTGTAGCACTTTGTAGCGAATATCGCACTAACAAGATTTTGGCAAAGTGTTTACAATCCTCTTGTGTGAAAGTAATTCCGTTGCGTCATAAGAAGTCTTACCACTACCTATAGTAAAATTTGGCCATACTAGCAGCATTCTCAGTTTCTAAATAGAGCCTTTATTAAATCGCATTGAAGCAACTCGATTGCTTTTTGCCTGAGAGGTATCTGTACGAACGTTCACATTAGCCAGGGTGTCCTATTCTGGAGGGAACGGTTTCCTATACCCATTGGTTGATAATTTTGTGAGCATTGATAACATCGACACATTTTCAGCCCACAGTTTCGACTTTACATCCATTAAAACATGACTTTGACAGACTTTATATGTTGTCCACCCTGACACCTCCTTATCAAGGTACTGTGGATGTGCACCTTTAGGTTTAAAGATGATACCACTTCTCTACTAATTCGGTCAAATTTCAGAGTTCTCCTGTTTAAATGCGAGTGCTTTCCTTACAACAATAGCATCAAGTCTGGTCAGATACAGAGTCACGGGAGTCTGAATTTTCACAGGCCAGAACTACATCTTCACCTGAGTCAGATGTGTTATCATGTTGTCCAAATGCTTCTTATTCAAGAACCGAGGAGTTAACTTCCTTGACCATTTTGAGTTGACATCATAGTTGCTCTCTTTCACCAGACTTCATAGAATGGATTAACAATAAGAAATATTTATTAATATCAAATGGCAGGCGTTTTGATAGTTATAATTAGCATTTTAGTTGACTGCAGGCTTCACAGAGAGGGAAAGGTACATCAAAGTGAAAATAATTCGAGAGGATGGAGGAGGGGGGAGGTACAAAAGTGTTTCAAAGACAAGGGAAGGAAAGGCAGAAAAAGGTGAGATGAGTACTGTGAAATTAGTCATATATGAAATACAGTGGGACCATTGTAGTTTGAATTCAGAAGTCAACTGTCGATTTATTGAATTTGTTGCCTTATGAGTATAGGTTGACCAGGGTGAACCACGTGGAAGTAAGTCTGTCGCAAATCCCACAATAAGAAATATAGTGTTCGCTATACATTACGCCTGATTAAAGCGTCATCAATTAAGATTAATTAGAATCTGCAAAATTTGAATTGCTTTCAACTGGAATGAAATTGATAAATGTAATTTTGGTTAAACCTTGCGAGAAATGGCATTTCAGGCACAGACGAGGAATGTGCACTTAGTGGATAATTGGTGGTTAGTCTAGTGTGATTATCATTTGCGCTTTGACCCACGAGGTCACAACAAATGTGAACCATTTAATAATACACTTTCTGCAATCAATTTGGTTCGATACTCAGTCAATTAGACGTTTGATCCTAAAATTAAACATTACCTATTCTGTAATCAACATTCGCCCATTATCCGTTATCACAATAATTATCTTCATTATTAAATATTATTATTTTTATTCAAATAAATTGCCATTGAAATACTGAAAATGTGTTTCATTTTGACTCACAACATCTGTTGAATCTCTTATGATAATGACTTAATCAAAGAGGGGATATAATTGTTGATAATAAACATTTGCACTTGTGAAATGCGACTTACTCTATGCAACTTGGGATCTTGAAGTATCCTCGATTGCTGAAGCTTCTGTGTGCTCTTACTACCTACCACTGTAGTCTGCATTGCCAATATGCTGATCACAATATTACTGCGTATTAACAAGCACACTTTACACAGGAGTCACTAATGACATTAGCTCATCCATTCTCGACTGCGATGGAAGTACATTATGAAGATGGGAGAGGGAAATATGAAAAACTAGTAGATTTAAGTAATTCATCTCGTCCGAATCCCCCACCCTCCTCCCTGCCCCACCTCCAACCCCTCTTAAACTCTCTGCTTGGCTTCACACATGATAACAGCGTCGCCAATTGAGTGTTGGGAGTTGCCACACAAATAGGCCTGATTTGGCCTCTATGGCAAAATATCCTAGCATGTATAGCAAACGAGTAAATTCAAACCATAACGTTTCCTCAATGGTTTCACACAAACATGAACCAATTGAGTGTGTTTAAGTGAGTTATTCTAATGTTTAAAAAAAGAATTGTATACTTCCTCTAGGTCTTCCTGTGTGTTATCCATTGTACACATTGTTTTATTCGCTCTACCGAGTAATACCTTCAAGGCAGTGAGTAGGTTAATGCATTGAACGCTCCTTGACTCTCGTTCTTACTACCAGCTTCCACCTTCGCCAACTACTTTGAAGATCTCTTTCCATTTTGAAAATGTAATTTTCTATGTTCCTATTGGTCAAACAAACAAAAATGTCATAGAACTCAAAAGTGAACCTTAATAACAGTGATATGGCAATAATAAAAGGAGTTAGACATTTCGTTTCTTTCCATTTCTACACTATGAAACGCTTTCTCAATAACTGAGACGATAGTCTCTTTTCAATATAATGTTAAATTTGTCAGTCTCCTGCAGGAACCGACAAGTAGCTAACGGTGAGTCCACTCGCCTTTCTCTTTATGGGTAAATAAGGTTGGTTGGCCGGTGACCCATGACGTAACCATATGACAGCGTAGTTATGATAAGTCTGTCAATTCCCCAATGACATTCAACACGGATTATCATGACGTAACAAAGCAGCACATGCCCATCTTCCGACGGAGAATCTTTCTCACAGGTGTCATGATCACCGAAACAAGTATTTCATGAACGTCAATGAGTGGAAAAGAAAACGTTCTACACTCGGTCATTCATTTCGTCTCCACAGAGAGGGGAAGGAACATCAAAGTAAAAACAAGTCGAGAGGATAAGGAGGGGGGGGGAGGTACAAAAGTGTTTCAAAGACATGGGTAGGAAAAGGCAGAAAAAGGTGAGATGAGTACTGAGGAAGTAGTCGAATATGACATACGGTGGGGTCATAGTAGTTTGAAATCAGAAGCCAACTGCTGATTAATAGACTTCTTGCCTTATGTGTATACGTTGCCCAGGATGCACCACGTGGAGGTAAGTCTATCGCACACCCCAGATTACCGGTCATAAATCGGGGTTTATAAGTGAAGTGTGCTATATTTGTTTTGTCTTTAACTTAAACGTTATTATTCATTTTCTCTTTCAAACTGGCTATAAGACGTGAGCTAAACGTCTTAACAATTCAGTGAGCCATGAGGCAGACTGTGCAACTGACAAACAAGTGAGTCTTGTGTTGAGGAAAAACCTAAAAGTGGCCAAAGCAAATTAGGAAAAGCCATGATCGAGGCAAAACAACTGTCCCCAAATTTTATGGAGATATCTTCACTTGATCATTAATACGCTGGAAGTTAGTAATTTCTTTAAGCCCTTCAGAGACCCATGGTCATTAGTTGACCTCTATCGATTGTTCATGTATTGAATTGCACTCTTGTCTACTCTGTCTCAAGTCACAAATTCTTGTCTGACCAGTCATCACACTTTATATTTTTAGAGAGCATGATTCTGACATCTGCATTTATCTTGAATTTGTTTTTCTCTAAAGTCACGCAACCTATTTCCACCAACCTCCTTGTGAACTTAAAATAGTGACCCAACTGTGCGGACTTTCAAAAATATACACTTTGAGCTGTAGGCCTTAAATTAATCGTGGCTTATCCAAGCAAATTTAGGCTTTCAAAAGACAAATATGGGCTCCATTTTATTTATTTAAACGTACTAGTGAGAGCAAATCACATATTTGGAAAGCATCAATATCGTGTGCCACAGAATACTTGGTTCACAAGAGATTACTTAGATTCTCTCCATGATACTTAACATGGTTTATCTCAAAGACCAATAAACGCAATTGGTCAAGAGGGGTGTCTAATTTCATTGAATGGTCAAGAAGTTGACTTCAACATTGTAATTCGGTGCCTACTAATTGGTTTTAAGGTAGAGAGAGTCTTTCTGGTTTTTTAGCAACATGTAATACTTTCTTCAGTTCTATGGCTTTCTGTATTAGTCCAGTTTGCAATTTAAGGTGCTCTGAGGTGTGTCTTTGGGAATGCGCAGTGGTTTCTCTTACAGGGTCACTACCTTCTCTTTGGTAAATGAACTTACTGTGGTGTTCCCTGTAACCAGGTGTAGCACTTTGTAGCGAACATCACACAAACAAGATTGTGGCAAAGTGTCTACAATCCTCTTGTGTGAAAGTAATTAAGATGCGTCAAAAGAAGTCTTAACACAGTACATATAGTAAAAGTTGGCCATACTAGCAACATTCTTGTTTCTAAATATAGTCTTCATTAAACCACATTAAATCAACTCGATTGTTGTTTGCCTGAGAGGTCTCTGTACAATCCTTCACATTAGCCAGAGCGTCCTACTCTGAAGAGACGGTTTCTTTTACCCATCAGTTGATAATTTTGTGATTATTGATAACTTCAACGCATTTTCAGCCCACAGTCTCGACTTTACATTCAATAAAACATGACTCTGAGAGACTTGAAAAGAAGCCCACCCTGACACCTCCTTATCAAAGTACTGTGGATGTGCACCTTTAAGTACAAAGATGATACCACTTCTCCACTGATTCTGACAAATTTCAGAGTGCTCTAAGTTAAATGTGGGAGCTTTACTTACAGCAATAGCGTCAAGTCTGGTCAGATATGGAGTCACCGGAGTCATAGATGTCATCAGGTTGTCTGAATGCTTCGTATTCAAGAACTGAGAAGTTACCTTCCTCGGGCCGTTTGAGTTGACAACGAATTTGCTCCCTTTCAGCGGACTTCATATAAAGGGTTAACTATATGAGATAAAGTGTTCGCGAAGCACATTCAGTTGATCCAAAGGTCAATGGAGCCACATACAATCATCATTAATGGCAATATTATTGTACTTAAAATATAAATATCTTGTTTTTTTCCTGAAATGTTTGTTAAAGTTGAGTTGACGTATTGCACCGTTCCACAATGTAGTCTCAAAACTTATTAAAATGTCTCTTATTTAAAATTCTTCCAAACTGGATTGTAAGTGATAAATGTAATTTTGAGTGAAATAGCATTTCAGGCACAGACGAGGAATGTGCACTTAGTGGATAATTGGTGGTTAGTCTAGTGTGATTATCATTTGCGCTTTGACCCACGAGGTCACAACAAATGTGAACCATTTAATAATACACTTTCTGCAATCAATTTGGTTCGATACTCAGTCAATTAGACGTTTGATCCTAAAATTAAACATTACCTATTCTGTAATCAACATTCGCCCATTATCCGTTATCACAATAATTATCTTCATTATTAAATATTATTATTTTTATTCAAATAAATTGCCATTGAAATACTGAAAATGTGTTTCATTTTGACTCACAACATCTGTTGAATCTCTTATGATAATGACTTAATCAAAGAGGGGATATAATTGTTGATAATAAACATTTGCACTTGTGAAATGCGACTTACTCTATGCAACTTGGGATCTTGAAGTATCCTCGATTGCTGAAGCTTCTGTGTGCTCTTACTACCTACCACTGTAGTCTGCATTGCCAATATGCTGATCACAATATTACTGCGTATTAACAAGCACACTTTACACAGGAGTCACTAATGACATTAGCTCATCCATTCTCGACTGCGATGGAAGTACATTATGAAGATGGGAGAGGGAAATATGAAAAACTAGTAGATTTAAGTAATTCATCTCGTCCGAATCCCCCACCCTCCTCCCTGCCCCACCTCCAACCCCTCTTAAACTCTCTGCTTGGCTTCACACATGATAACAGCGTCGCCAATTGAGTGTTGGGAGTTGCCACACAAATAGGCCTGATTTGGCCTCTATGGCAAATTATCCTAGCATGGATAGCAAACGAGTAAATTCAAACCATAACGTTTCCTCAATGGTTTCACACAAACATGAATCAATTGAGGGTGTTTAAGTGAGTTATTCTAATGTTTAAAAAAAGAATTGTATACTTCCTCTAGGTCTTCCTGTGTGTTATCCATTGTACACATTGTTTTATTCGCTCTTCTAAACAATACCTTCAAGGCAGTGAGTAAGTTGATGCATTGAACGTTTGGCGTTGTTGTGGAAAGGGAAGGTAGTAAGGAATTGATCAACACCACCGCATAAATAATCTGCTGGCTGGTAGGCACCTACATTCAGTAAATGGGTGCTTCATGGAGTAAGTGAAGATAAGGTGACTGCGAGACCACGTGAAAGTATGCAAACCCGATCTTCTCTATCATTAAAACCAATGTCTGATAGAATCGCATTTTCAATAGAATCAAATTGAAAAAACTTTAACTTGGGTACATCTAACTACTTGACTCTCATTGCTACTTCCTGCTTACACCCTCGCCAACTACTTTGAAGATCTCTTTCCATTTTGAAAATGTGATTTTCTATGACCCTATTCGTCAAACAAACAAAAATGTCATAGAACTCAAAAGTGAATCTTAATAACAGTGATATTGCAATAATGAAAGGAGTTAGAAGATTCGTTTCTTTCCACTTCTACACTCTGTCTCCTGCATGCATCGAAAAGTAGTTAAAAGTAAGTCCACTCGCCTTTCTCTTTATGGGGAAATAAGGTTGGTTGACTGATGACACATGATGTAACCAAATGACAGTGTAGTTATGATAAATCTGTCAATTCCCCAATGACATTCAACACGGATTATCATGACGTAACAAAGCAGCACATGCCCATCTTCCGACGGAGAATCTTTCTCACAGGTGTCATGATCACCGAAACAAGTATTTCATGAACGTCAATGAGTGGAGAAGAAAGCGTTCTACACTCGGTCATTCATTTCGTCTCCTTCACCTCGTCATTGTAGGAATTAACATTTTAAGCAATGAAGCAAGTAAATGCTTCTTTATCCGACGAATGTCCTTACTTATCTTGACTGATTCTTATTCAAATGTGGTTGAAATTATACCCTATAAGTATTCTATAGGCTGTATCGTTATTAACAACTTCCAACAAGTATGCGATATTTGTATTACTATAAGCCTCCATTTCCCTTCCACACCATTTGAAGACAGTTGGCATGCTTCAAATAACTCTATTTTAACCAATCCGCCCAGTTTCATTGATGACAGAAGAAAACTTCGTAAGTCACAAGAATAGTTAGTGAAGATGGGCTTTAATTCCTTGCAATTTCGGTACTAGAAGACACCTCATACTGGTGTCCGAATCGAGATGCAACATGAAAATTATCTCCAGTTTCGATATTCAACTGCATCTTTCGAATATGGACAGGGCCTCAACAGTGATATACCAAGTCACTCATGATTTCTCTCCTCCGTAACATCTCAAATTTCTGCATACACAGGCAACACAGAAGCTCCTGATGCTTCGAAAGTCCATCGACACTTATTCCAGGCAAATACAGTGCTTAAGTGCATAGATAAGAAAATTTCTCTCTGAGGAATTGAACAAAGAAAATGATTTAAATCTGATATAATTTGAGCAAACAATTTAAATCAAGTATTTAACAAATTCACTATTTGGTCGACTGTGCAAAATTAGACGGTCTATGCTCAGCATGAATAATAATGAAGAAAAGAATGTCATTTTAGCAATCACGAGACATTGTGAGTTCTGGCATTCGAGCGCGCGTTTAAGCGCATAAGATATGTTAAATCAATTGGGGTGTGTTCGAAGTCAGAATGTTGAGAACATGATCTGCAAGGTGTAAAAGGAAAAATGTTAAATGAAGTAAAGTTATTAATAATAAGTGGAATGTGAAATTTGTGGGGAATAAAAATTGACGCTACTGTTGTTTTAGTACCCCTTGTCTGTTCCTTAACATTTTTGTGGTTAGCCGTTTGAGAGTCTGAAACCGGATAGGTTGCCAATGCGTGTTGACCTCTGAGGTCACTGATAGGGGGTGACCAATAGCATGGACCCTAAAATCGGATGAGTCACCCATTCGTAACTCCACAAATCGGAGGAGGATTGAGGGCCTATATAAGCACAATATTTATTGATGTCCACTACATATAATGGATTCGGGCAACATGGGTGACTATCAAGAGATGATTGATCGAGCTTACAACCTCATGGAAGAAATCGAAGATAAAAGCGCATTTCTTGCTGCGTGCAATACAACACGAGCTATGCAAAGCACGCTTTCAACCATGTCGGACAAAAGTTCGGATGAATACCAAAGACTACGGCAGAAGCAAGTGGAAGCACAGACGTACATTTGGGACGCTGTTTCGAAGGGAATGAAGAACATTATTCTTGGAAATCCCAAACCGTCTGCGAAGTGAGATCTCATTGTTGAAGCACTAGTAATAGTCTTTTAAAATATACTTGTATTTAAATGGAGTTTGAGTTCTCGTTATCCACTGAAGGGAAGATCTAACAGGTATAGATTATTTTTAAAATTGTAATTTACAATTATTTGTAAAATTCATCTTTGTTCATTTGACGAATGAGGATATAGAAAATAACATTTTAAAATTGAAAGAGATCTTCAAAGTAGTTGGCGAGGGTGGAAGCAGGAAGGTGGAAGGCGATTCAAGTAGTTAGAAGCACCCAAGTTAAAGCTTTTCCAATTTGATTCTATTTAAAATGAGATTACTCCAGACATTCGGTTTAATGATAGAGAAGATCGGGTTGGCACACTTTCACGCGGTCCCGCAGTCATCTTATCTTCACTTACTCCATGAAGCACCCATTTAATGAATGTAGTTGCCAACCTGCCACCAGATTATCTGTGCTTTGGCGTTGATCAACTCCTTACTACCTTCCTTTTCCACAACAACGCCAAGTGTTCAATGCATCAACCCACTCACTCCCTTGAAGGTATTGTTTGGCAGAGCGAATGAAACAATGTGTGCAATGGTTAACACACAAGAGAACCTAGAGGAGGAATACAATTATTTATTTTAAACATTAGAATTTTTCGCTTTAACACCCTCAATTGATTCATGTTTGTGTGAAATCACTGAGCTAATATTACAGTTTGTTTTGACTCGTTTGTTTATTCTGGGAGTTTATCCATGCTAGGATATTTTGCCATAGAGGCCAAATCAGGCCTATTTGTGTGGCAACTCCCAACACTCAATTGGCGACGCTGTTATCATGTGTGAAGCCAAGCAGAGAGTTTAAGAGGGGTTGGAGGTGGGGCAGGGAGGAGGGTGGGGGATTCGGACGAGATGAATTACTTAAATCTACTAGTTTTTCATATTTCCCTCTCCCATCTTCATAATGTACTTCCATCGCAGTCGAGAATGGATGAGCTAATGTCATTAGTGACTCCTGTGTAAAGTGTGCTTGTTAATACGCAGTAATATTGTGATCA